AATATCAATGCTCATCACTCTAAACTGAAACTTTTGCTGACCGCCGTTGTTGTTTTTGGCAGAAAATGTGAAAAACCTTAAAAAAAAAGCTTGATAATGAAAAAATTTTAGTAACTGAAGTGAATTGAAAGTTAAAAAAAAACTCAATAAAGATGTCAGTGTTTTTTGCAAAATTTTTTTTATTAAAAAAGCATAATTTTTTTATAAAAAGTTGGTATAAACAACTCAAATTTTTCTCCTACAAGAAAAAAAAAATGGTATTTCGCTGTGAAAAAATAACCGATGATTATTGTGTGAAAGAAAAAAAAAATCAGATTCTTCAATGTACTAGAAGAAAAAATCTGTTTCTTGTGTCAAAAATCGCAATAATTCATAATAGCAAAAAAAAATTAGTTGTCTTCTCTCAGAAAATCGAATGCTTTACTGTGTCGGAAAAAATTTCGGTTTTTTTTACTGCATCAAAATCGACTTGTGTAATTTTTTATATCAAAAAAAAAACTCGGATAATTTATTTTGCCAAAAAATTGACAATTTGTATCAAAAAAGGCACTGTTAATTTATTATTTTTCGCTTCTGAGAAAGAATTTTTGATACTTTCTTTTATGAAAAAAAAAAGAAAAAAAAACTATCAATTCATTATACCAAACAAAAACTTACTAATTCACTGTAATAAAAAAAAAGATTCCGACTTTTTTGTGTCAAAAAAAAAATTTTCTGTACGAAATTCGGGTATTTCATTGTTCATTGTGCCTGTTTTGAAATTTTTGTCTAATAAATTGTTCAACTATAAAATGTTGTTATCCCCCAGTAAGGTGCAGTTTTTTTTACAGCTCGTTACTATTTTGTGGTTGCACGAAAAGCGATTGGATTGTTTCAAGCTTACATTCAGGAAACTTAGGAAAACGGGAGGGAGGGAGGAGGGCTTTGTAGAGTACGCTTTTAAAAACGAGGCATCTTTGGCCATCCTCTGTATGAAAATTGGGGAAGGGAAGCCTGATACCGCCTTTACGGGGATCGCTACGGGTTTCATCGATATGCATAAACAGAGCACACTTGCATAAACAAGTTAAAAACATGTCATGTGCACACCGGTCTTCTCACACACATTGTTTTCGCTCAGCTACTACTGGAGAACCAGAAAGATCAGCGATATATCCTTCAGCAGCGTGTCCTTTTTCCATTTCAGCACTCTTTTCTACTAATGTTTCGCGCAATCGTCATTTCACATTATTTGACCGAAACATTCCAATTCAGTTTTTATTTCTAAGTTTCCTTTTAGCTATAACTTTTTTCATAACTTCATAAAATATTCAAATTATCGTTTTTTTTTTTGGTAATCTTCGTTCAGCTTCTGTTAGTTTTCAAAGACACCCGCAAAAAGTCGATAAAAATAGGAAAAAAAAAACGCATTGCCTGTAATAGCAGGTCTAGGGAGCTTGTTTTCGATGTCTTGCAAATTCGCCTCTCTCAGACAGATACACAGTGTGCAGCTGTTAGGTGCAAAGCACAGGAGGCCTTGTAATGTAACGTTTAGCAAGTCACGATTCGAAAGATTGGAAAATGGTGAGAATGAGGGTTTTGCGTTCCTTTCGTCCAATGTCTTAGCAAAACGAGCTAGGGTAGCTACAGCTTTTTTTTTAACGGAAAAATCCACGAAAAG